GCCAAGATGCGAGGAGATAAATAACTATCTCAAGCCCATGGTAGACGAGATGAAGCAGTTGTATGTTGGAATGCGAGTCCCAACCTACGAGTGCCCTTCTGGTGCTAATGTCCGTGCTGCCTTGCTGATGATTGCGTGTGACATCCCTGCTGCCAGGAAAACAAGTGGATTTACAGCCCACAATAGTACATGTGCGTGTTACAAGTGTACAACCCAGTTCCCCAGATTGCCCAACACAAATCAGGTGGACTTCAGTGGATTCGATTATTCGCTTTGGAATATTCGTAGCGGTGTAGAGAACAGGTTGCATGCTGAGGAGTGGAAGAGTGCGAGTACACCCTCAGAAAGGCACCAGCTGGAGGTCGAATATGGTGTTTGATGGTCGCAGTTGCAACGCCTTGGATACTTTGATCTAGTACGTGGAACGATCATTGATCCCATGCATAATTTATTCCTGGGGACGCCCAAGAGAATGATGGACCGGTGGGTCGATAAGAAAACGATTGGAGCCGAAGAGTTTGCTGCCATGGAAAAAATCGCAGAGACAATGGTCCTTCCGAGGGATTATACAAAGCTGACATCAAAGATTGGAAAAGGCTTTCCTTACATGAAAGCCGACGACTGGAAATCCTGGGTACTGGTGTATTCTCCTGTTCTGCTGCATGGTGTTCTACCATTTGAAATGTATAACAACTGGATGAATTTCGTCCGTGCATGCCGCTATCTTATCAAGCCAAGCATCACATTTGATGAAGTGAACAGCGCCCACGACTATCTGGAAATGTTTTGCAAAAAGGCTACCGAACTCTACACTCCCACCATCCTCACCTGCAACATGCACCTGCACCTCCACCTTTGCGAGACCATTCGTGATTTTGGACCCGTGTACGGTTACTGGCTCTTTGGGTTTGAGAGATACAATGGCCTGTTAAAGCATATAAAGACAAACGGAAAAGATAGTTTTGAGGCAACATATATGAGAAGTTTTGTTCAAAACGCATTCAAGGGTGACTATGCCAATGCTGTTCTGAAAAGTTCTAGCCACGTCCCCTTTTTCAACATTCTCTCAAAGCTTTCTCCGAAATTCACACCTACCACCACAGTCATTACTCTCTCCTCCCATCCATTCCGATTGCAATCATTCTTACTAGCATCGTCCAACCCACATCTTCCTCCAAAGGGTAACGAACCTCTCCCTCCTTCGACTTTTCCTCTTCAGCTAAAAAAATCATCACTGATGGATGAAACCGACTATGCCCATCTGCTTCAGCACTACAAAACATCCTATGATCTTCCCGACCTTGTCAGTTACCAATATGCCACGCTCACAAACTCCTTTGTTGACAATGAAATCACAAAGTTGAAGTTCATTGACTTACTTGGTCAACAGTACCGTGGTAAAAACGGTTCAGCTAGTTGTGGTTCTCTTGTCCACGTAATGTTTGTTGGTAGTGACGGTAGAAATACCCTAGCCTATGCTGGACAAGTACAGTATCTCTTCACACACTCCTTTACACACCCTTCTAACAGCAATCTCCACCTGACTCGCATGGTTCATGATCATCGACATGTATTCGCATATATCAAGTGGTTTAATACTTCCTCTGATAGATCGCGTGAGGATGACGGTCTTGAGTTTTGTCTCCCCACCTTCTCCCCCGATAGTCGCCATTGCATTGTATCTGTGCACCGCATCTTTTTAGAGATTGCTACAGCCAGGATTACTACAAGTAGAAATGTTAGTAAGATGTTAGTAATTGCTTTGCCAAAAAAGCTTTATGCTTAAAATAAAAAAAAACCCCCACTTGAATTTCCTTTTCTTATACAAAAAAAACAGAACAAATTCCCTATATATATTGATAGTATTGTGTATGTAAAAAGTAATACGTAGATAAAAAGAGAGAAACATTTTTTTTTATTTAGAGCCCGTCTCTAAGAGCCCACCGAGGAAAATTGGGGCTAATGTTATCCGGGACTGCTGAGTTGGACACACTAGTAGTGATCCTACGGATCCTTTGATTAGCACTTGACCCCATGGCCTGGACAGCATAAGTGTCAACAAGTGCAATGAAACGGTTGCACTGAAATACATTTGTTAATAATTCACTCAATATAATAATACACCAATACAAATGTATTACTCCAAATTAATCTACCTCATCGCTTCTCCAGCCTGGTTGTACAATATGAATGACATGTTTTATGCCATCCTCGTCCATTTCATCGGCAGACTCTCCATCTGACATTACTGCTTTTTGGAGAGTGTTGGCACAGTCTCTGAGCATTACAAGATCAATTGCCTTCTTATTGTCTTTGTAGGCCAGTACACGGCGACACTCATTCTAGTAATAAGTTTTATTAATTTGTTCTTTTTATTTTTAATTTTCAACTATAAACTATATATATTAGCATAATACTCACATCATCTGCACGGGCTGCTCTTCGTGTAAGAGCGTTTGTTTCCGCTATCTCATCATCAGACATTCTCTCACGACGGGTTCTACTAGTGAAGTTGGTGTGCAACCTCTTTTGGAGGTCACTCCATCTCATACTAGAGGAACCAAACCTGCGCTCAAGGTTAGAAAGAAGTCTCTCGGCTATCTCCCTGTTGGGAGATTTGTTGAAAGCAACATTTGTATCCCATCTGGGCTTGAGGTTGTTGGCCAGGATATTTTCTGGCGTTCTCAAGCTAAGCTTGGGTTTCCACATAAGGTTGTGAATATGAGCCTGATAAATAAATCCTGAGAAAATGAATTGATAAAATATTTTATAATATGTTACTCACATAAACTGCATTAGATTCTTCACGGGTAGGCTCATGGTTGGAGATGACAACAGGTGCCACTGGAAAAATAGGGTAATTTCATCTGGATCAAATGTACCAAAAATGTAGATGATTGAGCCAATATCATCACAATTTTTGTGATATATCATTTTGAGCAATGGTACGATATCATCTATGGTGCTGATGCATATCATTATAACAACGGGTACATGAAAACCCAATGTAGAACGATTGTCAGTCCGCAAACTATGGAAACTGAATAAATATTGTAGTTACGCTTTACTTCTATCGAGTCTACCTCTTTATGTGTTATATTTTGAGGTCTATAAAGAGCTAGCGTCCCATATTATTATTTTTACCGGGTTTTTTTATTGGCTGCAGAAATGCTTTAAAAACTATCAAAGAGATGATTGTAGGTTTTTTACAATATAAAGAAATGATGATAGTTGGTTTTTTATACGTGCTCAAAGTGATGAAACTAGGTTTTTTAAACACAAAAGCAATGAAACTAGGTTTTTTTACAATGGAAAAGAGAAACAAAGCATGGGTAGATTTTTATAAACAAGTCTCTTTGGTTTGTTTATTTATTTTACTTTTATTTATTTATTTTTTGGAAAAACATTGGGTTATACATTTTTTGTTCAATTTTGTTTTATTTGATAGGAAAATCTTTTCTAGATAAAAATCCTAATTTCGCGACAGTTTTGATACTATAGCTATTATAATCGCTAATACTTCTTGCTCGCTATATATAATTTAAAGCCTTCCGGGAGTAGACATGGAATACATACTTTAATAGCGGAAATGCTATTAAAAAATGATTAATAGAAAAGAAGAATTAGTAAATGATTTAAATTGAAATTTCTTTATAAATACTTACAAGGCGGAGAAGACCTGACATACAATTGATATAAACATGTTCTTCAGAATTATCAAGACAATACCAGTAGTCTTTGAATAGAGATACATTCTAAAAATGAATAATTATTAATATTGTA